TTCTCTTCTCTGTACTGATCAAACCATGTAGGCTAAATGATGGCAGCTTCACCAAGTGTTTTCTTGACTAAGACTGTACTAACTTTTGTTTTACCAAAAGTGAGTCTGCTTTCCAGTGCTGTGTTCTTGATATGAAGTAGCCCTTTTCATTCCAACTCCAAAACCTGCTGTCTTAGTTTGGCAAGAATACCACTAACTTGGAAAGCACAGTGCAAGCAGGCATCATGATACTGGAAAACAAGATCCTAGGCAAGATCCTGAGGCAGGACACATTCAAGGGCTTGAGGAGATGACTTGTTTTATAAACATTCAGTGCAAAATGAATCACTAGAGCAGGATAAACTTAATGTCCTCTATACCTTCCCCCCAAAAATATGCAAGAATCAATACCACCACCACCAACTCCAGTGCACATGTGCACACACACACATATACACACAAGAAAGCTTGGGAAATCTCAGGGATATCAAAGGTTCTACAAAAACAGGGCAAGACATATTCAGACATAACAGGCGGGCCAAAATTTAATACCAAGTTGAAGGAAACTAACAGAGGGCTCAGTTGCCCAGAAAAGAAAGTAGACATGCCAAGAGCAGGTTTGGCTCCCAGTCAAGTTTACCAGTAATAAGTCATGTTTACAGACTCATACAGACTCTCACATCACTCAGTGACTTTTCATAAATATTTATTGGTGTTATCCACAGAATTTAAGCTATTCCTCAATTTAAAAAACTTCAAATTCTACAGTGAGTTTGTCTATAGGTATTTTCTTATATTTTTTCTATAAAATTTTTGATATTACATACAAACAGAAGTTTTTGTAGGTGAAGGGTTCATTTTCTTCAATTCTGAAACTGACACACTTCCTCAGGAAAGAAATTTCTATAAACAAGCATTCAATATTTGTTAAAAATCATATATTCAAACTACAAAATCTTATCCTATTTGATGTTTAATGCAATTAATTTTGTTGTGAAGGCTTTTGTGTTTTTCCCTGAAATGTCTCTGACTTTAATGAAGGATTCTGATCATTCAGGATGTTGACAATTTTCTTCTTCATATGAAGTCTCTGATATACAATAAAACTGAATTCTTATAGTTCTTCTGAAATGTATTATGTTAATAGGATTTCATTAGTCTAATAGAGAGACAGCAAAACAATGCATTCAACTAATAGGTCAAATCTGAGAGCTCAATGGAAAACAAACTTAACTCTTGCTTGAAAAACAAACAGCTGATAAAGATCTGGAAGCAGAGAATTATATTCTAAACAGTTATTCAGACTCTAGTTTCTTTTGACCTTGTGCTCCACCACATTCAATACACAAAAGCCAACTTGCTGTGGAAATCATCTCAATACCATCTTACCATGGACCAGGAAGATTATAAGATGTTTAAGGGCCAGTACTAAATGTAATATATATCATTAGCATCATATTCTTTGGTCAGCCCACCTGGTTGACTGAGATTAGGATTTTCAACAAGCTATGAACCTAGTGGAAAAGGAAAATGTTAAGGAAAACAATTTTCCAGTCTACATTTCAAGAGTTTCTCTGCTGTGTGGTATAAAATAAGGTATGAGTTAATTCAGGACTTCTCAAATTCATGATGTGTTAGGGTTTTCTCTCTGGTATGCATTCTGATGTGATGTACTCTAAGAGTTGCCTTACGAGCAAAAATTTTCCCACATTCACCACATTCATAGGGTTTCTCCCCTGTGTGAATTCTCTGGTGTAGTCTGAGGGTTGAATTGTGGGCAAAAGCTTTCCCACATTCATTACACTCATAGGATTTCTTCCCTGTGTGAGTCCTCTGGTGTACATTAAGTTGTGACTTCTGGGAGAAAGTTTTCTTACATTCATTACATCCATAGGATTTCACACCTGTGTGAATTCTCTGATACACTCTAAAGGTTGAGTTAAGGGCAAATGGTTTCCCACATATATTACATTCATAGGGCTTCACCCCTGTGTGAACTCTCTGATGTGCACTAACATGACTTCTCAGAGAAAGTTTTCCCACATTCATTACATTCATAGGGTTTCTCCCCTTTGCAAGTCCTAAGATGTGCTCTGAGATGTGATGTCTTGGAGAAAGTTTTCCCACATTCATCACATTTATAGGGTTTCTGCCTTGTGTGGATTTAGTGATGGGCCCTGAGGGTTGAATTATCGACAAAAGTTTTTCCACATTCATTACACTTATAGGGTTTTTCCCCCTTATGAATTATCTAATGTGTACAGAGGTGTATTCTTTGGGAGAAAGTCTTCCCACATTCATTACATTCATAGGGTTTCTCCCCTGTGTGAATTCTTTGATGCACTATGAGTACAGCCTTATAGACAAAAGTTTTCCCACATGTTACATTCATAGGGTTTTTCCCCTGTGTGAATTCTTTCATGTGCACTGAGGTATGATTTCTGAGAGAAAGTTTTCTCACATTCACCACATTCATAGGGTTTTTCACCTGTGTGAATTCTATGATGTTTACTGAGGTGTGTCTTTTGAGAAAATGTTTTCCCACATTCATTACATTCATAGTTTCTCTCCTGTGTGAATTTTCTGATGTGCTCTAAGCGCTGAATTATGGGCAAAGGTTTTCTCACATTCATTACACTCATAAGGTTTCTCCCCTGTGTGAATCCTCTGATGTGCTCTGAGGGCTGAATTATGGGAAAAAGTTTTCTCAGAGTCACTACATTCATAGGGCTTACCTGTGTGAATTCTCTGATGTGCTCTTAGACCTGAATTTTAGGTAAAAGATCACCCACACTCATTACAGTCATAGGGTTTCTCCCCTGTATGAATTCTTTGATGTGCTTTGAGAACAGAAATACGGGCAAAAGACCTTCCACATTCTTTGCATTCATAAGGTTTCTCCCCTGTGTGAATTCTCTGATGTGCTCTGAGGGTTGAATTGTGGGCAAAAGTTTTCCCACAGTCAGTACATTCATAGGGTTTCTCACCTGTGTGAATTCTCTGATGTGTTTTTAGGGCTGAATTACAGGTAAAAGATTTTCCACATTCAATACATTCATAGGATTTCTCTCCTGTGTGGATTCTCTGATGTGTATTGAGGTGTGTCTTGTGAGAGAAAGTTTTCTCACATTCAGTATATTCATAGGGTTTGTCACCTGTGTGAATTCTCTGATGTGCTCTGGGTTCTGATGATGTGAAGAAAGTTTTCCCACATTCAATACATTCATAAGGTTTTTCCTCAGTGTGAATTCTCCAATGTTCTTTGAGACATGTCATCTTGAAGAATGTTTTCCCACATTCACTGCCTTCACCGAGTTTCATCTTTGTTTCTGTTCTCTGATGTCCTATAAGGGGCGACCTGTAAGATTTCCCACAGTCATTGTTACCATAAGTTTTCTCCTTTGTGTGAATTCTCACATGTTCACTAAGGTTTGACTTCTGACAGAATGTTTTCCCACATTCATTACATTCATAAAGTTTGAATCCCACATAAGCTCCAGAATGCTGAATAGAGTGTGAACTTATACAAAAGGATTACCCACATTCTTCATACTGAAGTTTCTCCCCTGAATGAGTCCTCTGATATTGAATGAGGTGTGCTTTCTCTTCTTCTTTACTCAATGTTTTATCATTGTCATCAATGAATATTACTTGACACAGAGGCTTCTTTTGTTTTTCCTGGATCTCTTTTATGTTGTCATAAATTTTATAATATCCTAAAATGAAAAAAATTGAAAACACATGATAAATCTTACACTTTTCATGGATAAGGACTTGTACCCATGTTTTGTTATGTATTTTATTAAATTGTTTCTGGTCAAGTTTCCACAGACTAAAAACACACACAGACAGATACTGTTTCTTGTTCCTTATCCATAATGTTTAAAGAAATAGGTATTATTTTCATCCAAGATCGAGTAGGCCCTTTCCTCCCAGATCTTCCTTCCTACAATTAAAAATCCTTGCAAAAAAAAGAACAAACATACAAAGACTCTACAAAATAGAAAAATGTGAACCTCAGGACTTAAGAAATGACACAGCAGAGAATTCCAAAGCTTTTCTTTCTGTTTCCCATATATCCTAGACAGACTGCTGAAGAAACCTACAATCTGGAGCCAGCAACAAAAAGAGCTCCAAAGAAAAAAAGCCTGTTTCTTCTAGGCAAAAGTAGTTTAACAGAACCGAAAACATGTTTGACAACATCCACATACTCATGCAAAACAAAAATGGAACACTTCCGTGTTTCCATGAAGGCTGACCAAGAAGCTAACCTTCCACTGCAACAGATACAGATGATTTGTGTGCTCTTGTGATATTTCCCTCCATGAGCCAAATGGAGAGATCACAGGAAAGATCATAAAGGATCCTGAAAAAGTCCCATTTTCGGGATATGCTGGAAGAAGTCACAGGAGCTGCAGCCAAAATTCTGCCTATAAATATATTTTTATTGGCCAGGCTTGGTAGTTTAGCCTGTAATCCCAGCACTTTGGGAGGCCGAGGCAAGTGGATTGCCTGAGCCCACAGGTTTGAGACTGGCCCAGGCAAGGTGGCTAGACCTCGTTCTACGATAAATAAAAAAGTAGTTGGAAGTGGTAGCACCTGTGATTTCGGCTAGTGGAAGGCTGAGGTGGAAAGTTTGCTGGAGCCTAGTAGGTCAACACTGGGGTGGACTGGGTGACTGACGAGACTCCAACTCAAAAAAAAAAAAGAAATATATTCTTATCTAATTTGTGGAACAAATATATTCATCTGCAAGGGCAAGAACAACAAATCTGCTGTTTTAAGGCACTAGCAGGCACTTATAGCATCTAGAGGAAGAAAAGCAGCACAGAAACAGGAGAAGAGGCAGGAATACCTGGTAAACCCAACTATATGGAGAAGAGATAAAGTAGCACTTGTGATAACCACACCTTCAAACTCGAGGACACAGTGTTTTCAGCAACAGCTAAACTCACATTTTCTCAAATGCACATGGAACATTCATCAAAATAGAATGCATTCTTGGCTGTTAGACAAATCTTCACAAATACAGAAGAAAAGAAATCATACAAAAGATGTTCTTGAGCCACAGAGAAATTATACTAGAAATTAATAAACACTTTTTTACTTGGAGAAATATAAAATATTTATAGATGATATTCTTCTAATGTACCCATGGGTGAAAGAAGAAGGTTCAAATAAGATATTTTGAAGTGTATGAAAACAACACAAAAATACAGAAATTTGTGAATGCAACAAAAGTAGTGCTCAGACATAAATATGTAGTTTAAAACTTTTATATTTGAAAAGAAAGATCTCCAGATACTTAAGTTCCCACTTTAACAAACTAGACAAAAAGTGACAATTAAATCTAAAGAAAGTAACAGAAGAAAAACAGTAAAGATTAGACAATAAAACTGAAAACAGAAAACACAGAAAATCAAACCAAAGCTTAATTATTTAAAAAGATTTTTTTCAATGGTAAGCAGAAAAAAAAAACCAAGTCACAAATTATCAATATCAGAAATGCAAGAAGGGAAATTACTGACACACCAGACATCCAACAGATAATAAAACAACATGGGTGACAATAACAAATTAAGGTGGCTTAAATAACAAATATTTATTTTTCTCAGTTCGAGAGGCTGGAAGTCTCATAATAGGGTGCCAACACAGTTGCATTCTTGTGAGTGAGCTCTTTGGGTTATAGACTATTCTTGTAATAGCCTCACATGGTGGAAAGTAAGCTACCTAGCTGTGGTATCTTCTTGTGAGGACATTTTAATCTATCTTTTTTTTAACCAGTAAAGAAAATAACTGTATTTGAACACTCTAGAAAGAAGCGGTAGGAGAATATGGACTATAATCAAAGGGAGTTTTTTGGATTCTTAGAACTTTATTCCTTTGCTTTAGAACACTGATATCATATTATTTGGTTCAGTAATTCAAATCCTTAAATGTTTTCTTTTACCTGGGCGCTCAGGCTAGACTTTAATGTACTTATTATCTGAATTCAAACCTGAATGATAACAGAACATGAAATCTAAATTATTTTACTTTTATTGACTAAAAACTTTACCATTCTTTTATAACAATTTTTCTAAGTTTTATATTTAGAGATAGCTTATTTAGTCAGTCAATATGCTCTAATCATTTACATATAGTGACTGGGAGATATGCTTGATCTAAATTATGTCAATCTTTATGTAATGCCATTTGTTTATATGGCTTCACAACAAAAACTTTCAATAAGTGAACATCACTTCTAATAATTAAGATGATTTTACTTTTTCTTCTAGGAATTATATTGAAAACTATAACTTTTTTAAATTTCTGGAATCATTTATTAGTACAGACAAAGGCTAAGGTGCATATGAAAAGATGTTTGACATCATTAGTGACAAAGAAACTGTTATGGTCTGTGTCCCATCCGCAAATTCATATGTTGAAGAACTAACCTCCAATAATACCATATTTGGAGACAAGGCCTTTAGGAGGTAATCCAGGTTAAAATAAGGCCATAAGGATGAAGCCTTAATCCAGTATCACTGGTGTACTTACAAGAAAGGGAAAAAATACCAGGGTGCTCTCTCTCTCCCCCAGTGGTTACACACAGAGGAAAGGTCATGTGAGACCACAGCAATGAAGGTGGCTTTCTACAAGCCAGGAAAGAGAGGCCTCACCAGAAACCAACTTACTGGTATCCTGATCTTGGACTTTCAGTCTCCAGAACTGAGAGAATTTCTGTTGTTTAATCCACTCAGTCTGTAGTATTTTATTATGACAGCCCTAGCTGCCTAATAAAGAAAAACAAATCAAAATCACAAGGAAATGCCACTTCACAACCACCAGGATGGCTGGAATCAAAGAAATGTTGGTAAGAATCTGGAAAAATCAGAATCCCTATGGGCTGTTGTTAGGAACGGAAAATGGTGATGTCATTTAGAAAAACAGCCTGGCAGTTCCTTAATCAGATAAACACAGAGGTACCACACGATCCAGAATTTCATGCCTAGGCATAAATATATATGTCCATGCAAAAACTTGTAAATGAATGTTTATATCAGCATTATCCATAATAGCCAAAAGGTGGTAGTCCAAGTATCTACTGACTGATGAATGGAAGCACAGGCAGTATATCCAAATAATGAAATAGTATCTGGCCATAAAAAGAATGAAACACTGATATATGCTATAATATGAACCTTTTAAACATTAAGTTAAGCAAAAGAAGCCAATCACAAATGACCATATACTATATGATTCCATTTATACAAAATGTCCAGAATAGGCAGATCTGCAGAGACACAAGTAGATTAACGTCTACTTAGAGCTGGAGGTCTCAAGGGTATAGAAGAGTGACAATTAAAGGGTACAGATTTCTTTTTGAGGTGATAACATTTGTACATAGAGTTGTCCCTTGGAGGATGGGATCTAGGACTCCTTTGAATACCAAAATCCATGGATGCCCAAGTCCTTGATATAAAATGGTACAGTATTTACATATAAATACTGTGCACATCCTCTGGTATATTTTAAATCATCTCCATATTACTTATACTAGCCTCATAAAACAGACAGTAGATAGTTGTATACTATATTGTTTAGGGAATAATGACAAAAAGTCTGTTCATTTTTTGTAGAGATGTATTTTTTAAAAATAGTTTCAATCTATAATTGCTGGAATCCACAGATGCAGAACCCATGGATACAGAGGGTAGACTGTATCTATAAACACATTAAAAGCCATTGGATGAATTGTATGAAATGTGAATTATATCTCAATAAAGCTGTTACCCCCCCAAAAAAAACTTTTTAAGGTGCTCTGCCACAAGATCTAACTACCTCAAGGCTCCCTCTGTCAACACTCACTCACCTGGGTACTTCTGGTTTAGGAATTTGACCTCTAGGGACCATGGTTCTTCTCTTTGCTCCAACTTGAGGATAACCTTGGGTTTGGTAATGCAACACCCTGTAATGAAATAATTGAGGGCATAAATGGACCAGATCCATGAGCACTTAGATGGAAAAAGACACAGCTATAAAAGCACTAAATGAGAATATTCATCTGATGATTTTGGGGAAGATAATGACAAAAACTGTTTTTGTTTCTGTAAAGGCTTCAATTACATTAGACCTTTTAGTCCAAAGTCAATGAAGCCTTTAATCTATATAAAGAATTTATGTGTCTTGATAATTTTTAAAAAAAGGCAAACATGCTGCAGAAAGAGTCCCGCGGCAGGTCTGCTCACCCACTGCAACGAGGTGGCCGTAATTCTCCAGCATCATGTCCCTGTATAGGCTCCGCTCCCCAGGGCCCATCTGCCGCCACTCCTCCCGGGTGAGCTCCACGGTCACATCCTCGAATGACACGGATCCCTTCAGCAACATATTTTGGTGAAGGTCTCGGAATTAGGTGACACAGAAAATATGTGAGAACTTTTCCTGTTTACTCTTGAGGCTCAAAAACAGTTGGTTATAGAGGCTTATATTGGACCAAATTTCATCTTAAAACTTGTCACTCAGCTAGTTTAAAAGATTTCTAATTTACCATACCCCATCTATATACATTTATGAATTCCAGATGTTTTTAAGACAGAAAAATTCAATGTAATTAATCCTTCTACAACTCTTCTTGCACATTCCTGGGATGATAGTATTCTCTAGGAAGTTCACATCCTCCTTGAACATCATCTCTGTAGATACTGGGTCCAAGGAAGAAAGACATGTGAGCACTAGAGAGATACCTGGCCAAACTTATGTATAAGTAAATTTATGAAAATAGAGAAATCTAGAGTTCATGAAGAAAAAGGAACAGCTTACAAAGAAGTTGGAACCAATGAGACCATAGTAAGAAAACACTATGTACACTGAAGTAACAGCAATCGACATAAGAATAGGATATAATCACAAAGCAGAAGCAGCAACCATTTGATGATTGTTCCTTGATGTAGCAACCTAGTCTAGCTGTGTGAGAAGCCTCTCTCTCTGTTTTTTGTTTTATTTTGTTTTTAATTGACAGAAAGACAAATCTTTCCAATTAGATCTCACTTATACATGGAATCTAAGACAGTAAAATGCATAGGAGTAAAGAAAAAAATAGAATGGTGGTTACCCAAGTCTGGGGGAGAGGGAGAGAGGAACAGGAGATGTTGGTCAAAGGATACAAAGTTTCCATCAGGCAAGAGGAACAAGTTTTCAAGATACTGCACAGCATGGTGACTCTAGTTAATAATCATATAATGTATGTTTCAAAATAATCAGCTTCTTGATGGTGCCAAAAACTGACAATTGAGAAACAAAAGGAAAAACGTGTGGGACTTTTGAGTGAGAGATCTGTTCAGGTTGCTACAAAAGGGTGTATGAGACATAAAGCTGGAACTGCCCTTTAAACCAATATACATGATTTCAGAGCACAGAAGGCAAGTCTACGATGAATACAAACACTTAGGAGTCATTAGCACTCTAGCTGGTAACTGAAGTTATTAGAGACAATCAGACAGCTCCTTGAGCACATTGGGATTAAGGGAAAAGTACCAAAAACAAAAACACTTGAAGACCACATATATTAAAGAGGCTGGCAGAAGATGTACAGGCAAGAAGTCAGAGAAGGTTTCTGAAAAATATTAATAGAATCCAGAGAGGATAAAGTCTTAGAAACTAAGAAAATTGAAAGTTTCTATACCAAAAACTTCAAATTCAAGCTAACAAGTGATGTCAGCAAAAATACTGAAGTTGAGAAAATTCTCTCTTCCATAAAAGTAATGAGAAACTGGCAGCGATTACAGAATCAACTTTTTCTGCAAGCTAATCAAAGGCTTTAAGCAATCTATACAAGAATATTTATACAAAAATATATACATTATGCCTGTAATCCCAGAGGACTGCCCGAGTCCAGGGGCTCGAGAACACCCTGGGCAACTTGGCAATACCTCGTCTCACAATAAACCAAAAAATTAGCTGGGCATGGTGGCACATACCATAGTTTCAGCTACTAGGAAGGCTAAGATGGAAGGATTGCCTGAGTCCAGCAGGTTGAGGCTGCAGGAGCCATATCACTCCAGTATGGATGACACAGTGAGACTTCAATCGAAAAAAAAAAGAAAATGTTTAAAAAAAAGGTTGCAACATTGGGAGACCCACAGTTCCACATCATCTTAACTTGTCCTATTTACATCCATCTCTCTCTAGTTCCACATTAGCTTTGAGAACCAATCATCTGAGATAAGAGCAAAAACCAGCAGCCTGGCAACCACTGGAGGAGGCAGAAGTGGTTTCGAGTTGTCAAAGGCCTGCTCCCAGAAAACTGTCATTATTTGACTTAATAGGATGGTTTCCTTGAAGACCTCACTTGCAAGGCTGATTACTGAACTGACTCAGAGTTTTCACCCAGGATGAAAAACCTGTACTCCAAGGCATTAGTCAAAAACATTCAAAGGCAATTTTAACTTACCTGCTACCTGGGGTGGTGGACAAGCAGTTGGGGTAAGTAATCATCTAATAAAAAGCTTTATTTAAAGGACAAGCTGGAGGATGAAATGTCCATAAAGGTTTTGAAAAACTCTGATATATTCCTGAGAATTGAGAAGCCCACCTATATGCACTGAGCTGAGAATATGCCCAGGACTGTGATATGGTCAGGAAGGACATGAGAAGGCTCTAAGCTGTCACTTCTGAGTGACCTTAAGGTTTGGAGAAAGCAGGAAGTGAAGACAAATGCAGAGTTGTAACTGGCCTGGATGACTGCTGGAGAAATGCCACAGCATTCACAAGACCCCCTGGAAAAGACTGGGACACTTGCTTGGTTTCAGGCATTTAAGGAAATTTCTGCAGAGACTTCAGCTGCCACACACAACAAACACAGGCAATACTAAATTAGTTTTAAAAAGTCACTGGAAAGGCCAGGCACAGTGGCTCATGCCTATAATCCCAGCACTTTGGGAGGCAGAGGTAAGAGGACTGCCTGAGCCCAGGGGTTCGAGACCAGCCGACAACATAGCAAGACCTTGTTTCTACAATAAATCAAAAAATAAGCCGGGCATGGAGGCATGTACCGGTGGTGCCAGCTACTTGGAAGGCTGCAGAAGGATCGCCTGAGCTCAGCAGATGGAGACTGCAGTGGCAGTGAACATGCCACCTCACTCCAGCCTGGATGAGAATGAGACTCCAACTCAAAAAATAAAAAGTCACTAGACATATTTCAACAACAACCCCTGGGAGGAGAGAAATTCTTCCAGAGTTGCCATATTTTATTAAAATATCCTGTTTTCAACAACAAAAATTATAAAACACGGTCAGGCACAGTGGCTCAGCCTGTAATCCCAGCACTTTTGGAGACCGAGGCAAGAGAATTGTCTGAGTTCAGGGATTGAAGACCAGCCTAGGCAACTTGGCGAAACCTCGTCTCTACAATAAATCACAAAAACTAGGCTGGTGTGCTGGTGTGCATCTGTAGTTACAGCTACTTGGAATGTTGAAGCGGAAGGACTGCTTGATCACAGCAGGTTGAGGCTGCAGTGGCCATGACCATGTCACTGCACTCCAGTCTGGGTGGTAAAGAGTGAGATGCCAACTTAAAAAGTAAAAAAAAATTATAAAACAAGAAAAAAAAAAGTAAGACCCATATGCAGGAAAAGAGTAATCAACAGAAATTTCTCCTGAGGAAGCAGATATTGGACTTAACTAGACAATGACTTTAAATCAGTTATTTTAAATATGGTTAAACACTTAAAGGGAATGATATCTAAGGACTGAAGGGAAGTATGTCACCAAATAAAGACATAAAGAGGCAGAAATTATAAAAAGGGACCAAACAGAAACTCTAAAATTAAAGAGTACAATAACTAAAATGAATATTTCACCAAAAAAGTCCATTCAATAGCGGAGCTGAGTAGGAGGAAAAAAGAGTGAAGCAACTAAGATAACACGTGCATTGAGACTCTGCAGTGAGAAACAGAAAGAAAAAAGTAATAGCAAAAAAATGAACCATAGGACAACATCAAGCTTACCAACATATGCATACTGAGAGTACAGGACAGAGAAGGGAGACAGAAAGGGTCTAACACAATTTTTGAAGTTACAGTGGCCAAGAGGTTCCAAAATTTGAAGGACATCAATCTACACACTCCGAAAGTTCAACTACAAGTAAGATAATCTTGGAGAAAGAAATCCACACCTGGATACATTATAAACAAAATTTTAAAACAGCCAAAGACAGAGATAATCTTGAAAGTTGCAAGGGAGAAGCAACCTATCATATTCAAAGTTGATTTCAAATTAGAAACCATGAAGAACAGAAGGCAATGGAATAGCATACTCAAAGTCAGTAGGACAAGAGGAGATGATGAGTCCATGGAGATGACAGGAGAAAGACAGGCCAGTGGAAAGTATCACTCACAGAGAAACATTTCAGGACAGAGTGAGAAGCAGAGGCAAGTGGTGAAGAAAAGTCAAGTGAGGAAAGGATAAGACAATGCCCACCAGATTTGATTACAATCCAGTAGAGTCACTGGAAGCTACATGCAAGTGGGAAGAAAAACCAAGGCGTCACACAGACATTTGAAGTTGAATGCCAAGTGTGGAGACATCTGAAAAAGAACAGAATTTTAAATCATCTGCTAAACAACCTGAATATCATGGATACTCAGAATATTTATGGAGTGTGATTTTAAAGACACTCAGTTGATTCATTGCAAAAATGCCTCATTTAACCCCGTGTTTGAATTCTTGAGAAGTGAGTGAGTGAGTAATGAGTGAGTTAGTGCTCAACATGACATTTTCTACTTCTATTGAGGAAAAAGTAAAGAAAACATTCTATGCTATGTAATGAGTTACTACTAAATCACCTACTTGTAGAACAACAGTTATATCAGGCTATTTTCATCTTTATATTTCATGAGGAATCAGTTTGCTTTATCTTTCTCATCAATGTAAACCATTATGTAATGTTGCTCTGCCAAGGTAATTAAACACCTCAGAAATAAATGAGGAGCCCAATTTGGTAAATGTGTGCCTGCAGAGGACCTGCATCTATCTACCCACAGGCCGCCTTTGCTCTACTAGTCTTATTTCTGTATCTTCTGTAAATATGTCTGACCCATTTGTCTCTACTTTTTCATATTAAAATACAGATACATAAAACCTACCAAAATCCTTAAAAAGCCCTTATAAAAGTTTGTAAAACAAACTGATTATTAAGAACCAACCTCACCTGAGCCATGTTCATTTTCTGCTGCTCTTCGAGGAGACTATAAGCCTGTGAAGGTTCACCTGGAGAGGAGGAAAGAACAAGGGGGTCATGAGAGACTTGGTCTGCCTTATAGTTCCTTTAGAAGAGTTCTCAATTATGACAATTACAATGGTTTTCCTGATACCTAATCCCATCATGATCGAGACGTGTCTGCATTCACCTGCCTAAAATTCTCTTCACACCCAACTGGTGAAAAGGTTTTCCAATGGGGAATGTCACTTTGACTCTTGAAAAGGGACAGAAGGACCACACAAAGGCAGCAGCACTTGAACACATTCTTCTCTGATATTAAGTTCACTTAATCCTGCATTTTTCACTGGGTGTGGTAAAAACTGTATTTTGTTAATTTAGTAGCAATTTATGTTCCTTGTGACAAAACTGTAAAAATAATACAACAGAAGAGTAACTTAACATGTTCAGGTACACAGAGGTGAAACCCTCTATCCTCATTCAACCTAATATTCCCACAAAAAACAACTCAGGCAGGATTAGTAAGCAAATTCTTGCTGTCTTTACACCCTGAGTTAGAGCTTCCACAGAAAAATCTAAAATAAAGATGAAATGTTGTATGCAAGGAATATGTTTTTCAACTTTTTGCTCAATAATGGTTGCTGACTCTTAAAAAAGACCTTTTGATAAGATGCTTATGATACTCACCTGTGTGTGAACAGCACTGTGCTTAGTTCCTGAGTCTGCCCTGGGTGACTATACACAAGTCATTAATTTCAGGCTCCATAAGAGGAGGAACCCAAAAAACCCCAGAATTCATTTATTAAAAAAATTGTGTACTTATTCTTACATGTTCAAACTTCAGTCACCCTGAAAGCACTCTTCGTTTGATGCAAGAAACCTATCGAGACACTTTTTCCACTGCTCAAAACATTTTCTAGACTCGTCAATTTTGGTGCCTTTTAGTGCTTCTGCTGTTTTTTGATTCACCTCTTCCACACCCACAAGATGTTTCCCTTTGAAGACTTTTTCCCACAGAAACAGAAAAAAGTCACTCTGGGTGAGATCAGGTGAATAGGGAAAGTGTGGTATGGTGGTCATGTTATTTTTGGTCAAAAACGTATGAATACTCAGGGCGGTGTGGGCAAGTGCACTCATAAGCCACCATCATGAAATGGGCAAATGTGTTGAGTCTCCAAAAAAAAAAAAAAAAAAAATTATAACTGAAGCCAAACACAGCCTCTCACAATGCTAGCTGGTACACTGATGCTGGTGGGTTCCTAGAACACTTACCTATTGGGAAAAACCTGCACTACAAGGGGTCTGCCCTCCAAAAGATAACTGATTTTTTGGGGGGGTCCCCCTCATATTTTGGGGTTTCCAGCATAGAAAACTCCCTCCCTCTGGTATCATTTTGTTATTATCTATGTTCAAGAAAGAAGGAGTGTCAGCATAACCCTAAATGCCACATGTAGTAATGAACATGGTGTGACAGTTACTCAAAGTGCAGAAAAAGTAATGGGAAAATGAAGAAAATGGGGTGTTGTTTAGGATTTTATCAGCTGACTACATGTTCTCTGGATACCATGGCCTCCCCAGCCCTCTACTAAAGTACCTTTTTCTCTTCAGCTTGACACTCAACCCTCTCAACCCCAGGTCACCACCTTCTGCAAGTTAGTGCACATTATCCCTGGTGACACAATCTGTAACAGCTCCTGAGTGTGGTAACATTATAAGTCTTACTCATGCTACGCAGGGAACCAAGAACTGCCTCAGGTGAGAACTTCCGCCTTTCTAGAATCTTCTGCCTCTGCCCTGAAGCTCTTGAACAGGTTTCTGTCAAACGGGCCATTCTCAGTGACAGGACCTGGCATGGACTCCCTCTTTCCGGCCTCTTATCACAGTTGCTTTCTTTCAGAAGGGCTGGGACTCGGGCCTGAAAAACAAATTCACTTTACCTGAAACTTTCATCTAGCACACTAAGCCTGACTCTTTTGGAATTCACCAGAAACATTCTACCCAATACTGTAGCCATTAGCTGCATGCAACCACTGAACACCTTAAGTGTGGCCAGCTCCACGAGTCAAGATAACATTTTGAATGTAATGACTCAAGGAAAACACATCAGCAAAATTGGCTCTGCCTGCCTCTTTTGACTGTAGCTGCTGAAAAATTCTAAATGAGGGTTGTGCTTTTCATCGACTTTCTACTGGACATCACTGCCCCCGAATAGGAATCTGTGCCCTTGAGGGAAGAGGCAGCCGCAACCGTACTGGAGGGTCCAAGAGCCTCAGTCCAAACCATGGAACTGGAGACTGCACAAATCTCAGGATAGAGTTACCACTCGGTGAGATTCTGTCCACGTTCACTTCACAGTCACGTAGGGAGATCAGAGCACTGACCCCTCGGAGTAAGTGCTCCCAAGGTTACAGGCAGGTACTGGCAGCTTCGGGTTTCAGGGAGGTTCGCTACCAGGACGAACAAGAAACAGGGAGTCAAGCCTACCTGGATGCGCCTTTCACCCTCTAACCTCCTAGCTTGTGCCCTGGGGTGTCCACCTTCGTGAAATCCCCTGCACTAAAAAATAAAAATAAAATGGCACGTGGATAATGACCAACAGGGTAGCTGCGAGGGTTCGATGAACCCTCAAAGAGGAAGACAGACAGGTGTCTCCTGAGGACAGCCGCTTCCAAGCCACACCTCAAAGGTCGCGGGCACCTGACGACCCATTTGACCAAGGATATCCGATTCCCTTCTCAGAACGACCGCACGAGCAACGACCGCCCCCTCGGATCTACCGCCCACGCCCCACACGACCCACTGCCCCCTCCCGCTCTTCCCCCTGCCCCCGCGCGCTCTTCTTCCCCCACCCACCCCGGCCCGCTGCAGACTCCGCCCGCGGCCAGGAACACGCGAACGACGGGGGGTGGGCGGGGAGCCCCCGCACGAAGCTCCCCGTGGCGGCCGGTGCCCGCCCATCCTGAGACCCCCGGGCAGCGCGGAGCCCCGACGCCGGCGCTCTCACCCCAGGTGCGCGGTCTCCGCTCCCGCGCAGACCTAGGAAGGCGGACATCTTCCTTTCGGGCCAAGAAGGCGGTCACCAGTGGGCGGGGGTAGGCCTGCGCCTGCGCAGAGTGGGCGCCGGAGACCCCTTCCCAGAGTGCTGCGCGGCAGGCCACCGACGTCGTGAACTACCATTCCCATCACCCCTTGCATTCAGGGAGGTGTGTTTTCCCATTTCAGTCATAGGTCGGGTCCTGGCTGCCCAGGTGTTGCCCAGATCCTCAGAGGTGTGGGCATCATGGCCCCGTGTAGTGCGTGGTTGGAGCAAAAAGCTGCAACAGACACCAACCGCCGCAGAAACATGAATAGGACTGGAGGTTAGAAATGTTAAGAAAAATCATTATTTTCTTAGTGTGATGTTGGGAGAGGTAGAAAATTGCTCTTATAGGCAAAAGATACACACTGAAGCATTTACACTTACATATTTGTAGTTTAAAGTGATATTTGTAAAATAACTAAGGAAAACTATTACAGAAAGTAAGTATGGTTAAAAAAAGTGAAGACTGGTTAAATATGTGTGATATGTGCAAATGATGCTCATTTTACTATTTTCTACTATTCTGATATTTTCTATCTACAATAAAAGATGTGTAGGGCAATGTGGAAGAGGAGCAGTGAGGAGATTCTACTATGCCTCCCATAAAATGCCTTTTAACCTCAAAGATGCCAAGATATATGTTCGTACAAAAATCTCTTATTACTATGGCTGTGAAATAAATACTAGAAAATATAAAAGAGTAACTTCTGTGACCAGCAGGGTTTATCTGAACTGGAAAGGGAGGAAGCTAGATGTTCAAAATTACATGAGTAATGCATGAAAACACATACAAACCCCAAATAAGAAAGCGCTTAGTATATCAACTTTGCATTTCCTTTCTTTTCTTTTCTTTTTTTTCAGATGGAATCTCACTCTCTTGTTCAGGATGGAGAGCAGTGGCACGCTCTCAGTCACTGCAACCTCAACCTGCTGGGCTCAGGCGATCTTCCCTCCTCAGCCTTCCAAGTAGCAGGAACTTGGCACACACCACTATGCCTGGCTAATTTTTTTTTTTAATGTAGAGATTAGGTATTGCCAAGTTGCCCAGGCTGGTCTTGAACCCGTAGACTCAGGCAATCCTTTCACCTCGGCCTCCCAAAGTGCTGGGATTATAGGTGTGAGCCACTGCACCCAGCCTAACCTTGCATTTCTATGGAGAAAACTTGCTTGAAATTTGTGTGCATACATCTGACTTTTCTACAGATTGAGACATCTGAGTACTATAACATTGAATTTTTAAATTGATAGACTTTTTAGAATAGTTTTAGGTAGACAGTGAAGCTGAACAGAGTTCCTATATACCCTGTCTCATCAAGCCACATACAATTTTCCCTTTTATTAACAACTTGCATTAATATAGTACATTTTGTACAATTAATTAATTAAGTCTGCAGTTTACATTACCTTTCACTCTTTCTGTTGTACAGTTCTATGGGTTTTTCCAAATGCATAATGTCACTTGGTGTGACTTCCACCAATACAATAATGTAATATCCACCATTCTAGTATCATACAAAATAATTCCACTGCCATAAGAATACCCTAGGCTCTATCTATTCATCTCCCTTCCTGAAATCCTGCCAACAACTCATCTTTTTACTGTCTCCATATTTTTGCCTTTTCCAAAATGTTGTATAGTTGGAATCACACAGTGTAACTTTTCAAACTGGCTTCCTTAATTTAGCACTATGTATTTAATCTTCATGTCTTCTCATGGCTTGATAGCTTATTTCTTTCTCTCCAAATATTATTCTATGTATATACCAAGTTTATCCACTTAGCTATTGAAGTACATCTTGGTTATTTCCAAGTGTCTGCAATTATGAATAAAACTGCTATAACATTTGTGTGCAGATAAGTTTTCATACCAATTGGGTAAATATCAAGGAGCACAATTGCTGGATGGTATAGTGATAACCACATTCAGCTTTATAAAAATCTGCCAAACTGTCTTCCAAAGTGACTGTATCATTTTGCATTCTCACCAGCAATGAACAAGAATCTGTCCTCACCAGCATTTGATATTGTCAGTGATTTGGGTTTTGGTTCTTTTAGTAGGTGTGTAGTGGCATCTCATTGTAAATCTCATAATTTTCAATTCTTGTTTGATATAGGCTGCCACACTTCTTATATGCTTTATTTTCCATAAATATGTCTTCTTTGGCATATTATCTTTCTAACTAACTCATTTTTATTGTGTTTCTTATTTTCTTATTGTTGAATTTTAAGAGTTCTTTGTATGTTTTGACTAAACTTTCTTTATCAGATATATCTTTTACAAGTATTTTCTCTGCATCTTTTGTTTTTCTTTTCATTCTTTTGATAGTCTTTCACAGAGCAGAAATTTTAAATTTTACCAAACTGTTCAGTTTGTTCCTTCATGGATAATTGCAGGGGGCCAGCCCCTGCAAGTTTTGGGGAGTCCCTTGGAAGATGTGGTGGCGTCGGCGAATCTGTAGGGATAGATATTAAAAGAAAGAAAGATGGAAGGATAGATATAAAGAGGAAGAAAGAGAAAGAAAGAAAGTGGACAACTGTTTAGTGAAATGAGCAGAAGCCATTTATTGAAAGTTACAGCAGGTATTTATCCCCAAATTTTAGACAGGCAGTCTCACTAGTCTTTCACGTGAACACAAAGCCAGGTGCGGGGGGGCATCCCCTACCCACCAGATGCTTAGGTGTGAGGAGGAACAAACCCCAAGATTGTCTCATTGTTTTCTTTGTTAGTTAATGTTTTTTAAAAACAGTGTAACAATCCTTACTAGTCTAATGATGTTTTGATAATCAATAACTTTTAAAGCTCACTCAATATCCATGATGACTAAATTAAACTCTACCACTTATATAATGTTACGGAAGCTCTTAATTATAGCTTAAGCCAATTTTCTAAAGAATGTGGCCCAGTCCAAAGATCACACTGGGCCCTATAGGATGTGGCCCAGTCCAAGGTCCACGGTGGGCCACCTTTTGGAACAATAGACTACAATCTCTTAACAAAATGGCTATTCTAAAGTCTTATATGTCTATCCTAATTTCTATGAAAGTTTTCCAATTCTTAATTCTAATATATAAAGTTGATTAGCAGCAGCAAAGCTTTTAAAACCTAAATGTAAATTGTAAATGTACTAAGGCAAAAACTTCGATAATAGAAAGTGGAGATGATAAAAATTCTTAAAATTAACTATATTCTTATTAAACCTAAAAATATTATGATTGATTATATATAAACTAACATGATTCATAGGATGACCTATTCTACAATATCTTCTATAGATAAAATAAATTTAATTTTTATAATAGGTAGAAAAGAGACCTTACACTAACTATAGCTAAAGCCGGCCCAAAAGAATGCAGCCCAGTCCAAAGTACATGCTGGGCTCTCAGGAATGTGGCCCAGCCCAAACTCTGTGCTGGGCCACTCTCAAAAATCATCTTCACCATTGAAAAGCTGTAAACAGCTCTCCCTAAGTATATTCTAATTCTATAAATATTCTTTTAAATCTTATAAAAAAGCTTGTACCATATAAAAGGCTCCCAAATGTGACCTGAGTTTAACTTATATCTAATACCTAAGCCAAAACTGCAGTTTATGGGAAACAGGAACAATGGGTTTCTAGAGTGAGCCATGTCTGTCACAGTCACAGAGCCTTCAGCTTAGGCCAACAGAGTTCCTTTAGGTTATTTGTGCTGCATGGCAAAAGGGGGAGGAAAATGGGGTCTATGGCTCCCGAACACGTCCTAGCGGTCTCGAGGTTCACGGCCTTCCCTGATCCCTAACGCTCAGTGGGCCTCCATGGCCAGCTTCCAACAGATAATGCTTTTGGTGTTACCTAAATACTCATTGCCAAACCCAAGGACAACTAGAGTTTCTCCTGTTTATTGTCTAGAAGTTTTTAGCTTTGTGTTTTATATTTAGACCTGTGATCCATTTTAAGTTAATTTTTGTGAGCGTTATAAGATCTGCAGCTACACACCTTCCTTTTTTTTTTATTGTAGATGTCCAGTTGTTCCAGCATCATTAGTTGAAAGGCTATCATTGCTCTATTTTATTGTCTTTGTTCCTTTGTGTGGGCCTACTTCTGAGCTTTCCATTTTGTTGCACTGATCAACTTGTCAATTATTTCACTGGTACCACAGTATCTTGATCACTGTAGCTTTATAGTAATTCTTGAAGCCAGGTAGTGTGAGTCCTCTAAGTTTGTTCTTCTCAGTATTAAAATGGATATTCTTGATCTTTGTATTTCCATGTAAACTTTACAGTTTGTTGGTGTATAACTTGCTGAGATTTTATTTGTTGTTTTGTTTTTTTTTTTTGAGTTGGAGTCTCACTCTGTCGCCCAAACTGGGGTGCAGTGGCCGCTCCCGGCCACTGCAGCCTCGACCTGCGGGGCTCTGGTGATCCTTCCACCTCAGCCTTCCAAGTAGCTGGAATTACAGGCATGTGCAACCACGACCACCTGATTTTTTGATTTATTGTAGAGATGAGGTCTCTCTGCCCAGGTGCTTCTCGAACCCGTGGGCTCAGGCAATCCACTCACCTCAGCCTCCCAAAGGCATGAGATTACAGGCTGAGCCACCGAGCCAGGCAAATTGCCAAGATTTTAATTGAAATCATGTTGAATTTGTTGATCAATTTGGAACAGACTAACATCTAAGCATGTTGGAGGTTCTTATCCTTCACCATGGGATATCTCTCCTTTATTTAGTTGTTTCTTTCTTCAGAGTTTTATTATTTTTCTTCTATACATTTTGTATTATTTTGTTAGATTTGTACCCAAGTATTTCATTATTTTGGTGTTGATATAAATGGTAGGTTTTTAATTTCAAATTCCAATTGTTCATTGTTGGCTTATAGGAATGCAAGTGGCTTTTTTATGACAATCTTAGATGCCTCAACCTTGAAAATAATCACTTATTAGTTCCAGGAGGTTGTCTTGTTCTTGTCATTTCTTTGGGTTTTTCTACATAGACAATCATGTCATATG